ACACTTCCAATTGTAAAATAAATAAGTAACCGGGATGTAATGTATAGCATAAGGAATATAGTCAAAATATTGTAACAACTTGGTATGGTGTGATAGCTGGTACCTAGAATTATCATGTATATAAATGTTGAATCACTGTGTTGTACACCTGAAACTAATGTAATACTGTGTCAACTACCCTTCAATAAAAAATAATTATCTAAAAAAAAAAAAATGATGCTGAGGCATAAAAATATGCTTAAGCATAATCAAACACATGCACCTGTCTTACGAATCTTTTAAATTTATTAATTGTATACCCTCTTTAGAGTGGCTTTCAACACTGAAGTACATATACAGAAGGAAATTGAAAAAGTGAAATCAAAACTTATTTAAAAGAAACTTAATTTCACTAGATCCTACATTAGGAGCTTTCTGAAAAACAGAGTGAAAACATAACATACTGAATTACACAGTTCTCATCTGAAAAACAAAAAAGAAGTATGCTAGTTCAGCTGGAGAGTCCTGCCCTTTCCTGACGCTAATTCTAATTCAATTACATTTTGTTAATGCCCATCATGCACAAGAGTGTTGCCAGCTAGGTAATATCCAGTAATACAATGGATATTAAGTTTTCACAGAATATAAAACTCTTTATTCAAAGAATTTCTTACACTTGAAAGGCCAGTATCATAATACCAGAAGTTAAAAGTCTGCAGAAGCTATTTTCTCTGGTGATGTAATTCAATGTGGGAAGTGAGCACAGATCTAAGAATAGAAAAATGTAAGTTCTTGGAGGCTTCTCAAACATCAATTGTTTTGAGCATGATTTGTAAGACTGTGGTCATTTGAAACTTTGAAAAAATTAAGGGACTAAAGTACAAATAAAATATTGTATACTTTAAAATAATTATTAACAGTCAGCAAAACAAACCTTCTATCAAGAAAATTATAGTCTGCTTTTCATTTTAGTTACTCGAGAGCGCTTGCCTACTTCCACACTCCAGAAAACACACCACTAAATTTTCTCAAAGTAGATGGGAGTTGCTGCCATATAACAGGTAAATGCCATGGAATCTAGAATCCAGAATAGTGCTATACAGAGCATCCACAACAGAAACATGTTCCGATGATTCCTCTCAAAAGGCCATCGAAGGCTGTGGTTATGTCCCCAAATTCAGAATTCATCATTGGCCTGATAGCTGAACTCAAAAGTATCTGAATAGGGGATAATGTAATTTTACTTTCGAGGGAAAACTGCAGGTAGATTACTGTGAATCCTGTAGATTTTTGTACATCTCAGTTCTTTGGAAGTTCTTTGCTAATTTCATCAGATTTTTAACTGCTTAGAACCATTACAAAATCACACCAGGGAATCCTCAAGCTGCAGGACAGGAGTAAGAGCCACTCCCTGAGTTCAAAAGGAGAGTGATTCCTCAGTAATATAGGGTGCTTCACCAGAGGCACAGATGGAACTTTCCACAGAATTACCCTGGGGATATCACTTCTCAGGATTAGCAGGTCAGAAACTTCAAATAACAATGACTTTCTTCTATGCTTTACTGCCAAATCTCTTGAAGTTAACACATGTGCACTTCGGCTCCTCTGCACTGGCTTCCACCCTCACATTTCACTGAATGTTTTCACCAAGTCCCTAATAATCTCTGCAGCACCAAGCTTAAAAGACTGACTCCTCTAAAGCATACAAAAATGCGGGCCACGCATTCCTTAGGTAAAACAACACATCGCTCTTCATTTCTTCTACCCAACTGTCTTCATGGTAACTTCTTTCCCCCCTCCCCCCAAATATCAGTTTCCAAAGGCTTGTATCCAGTACTTAATTAACCTCTTCATTCAATATCCTTTCTGGGTGACCTAATTCAAACCACTGCTTCCACTACTATCTCTATTGAAGCATCCTCAAAACTCAGAATGTACTTAAAACTTGTAGTGCAATGCTTACCTGTTTCAGCTACTCAATGGATGATACCTGCCCTATCATTCCAAACATGTCCAATTTCTAACTGCACACTGTGAATCCCTACTCACCTAAGAGGCACCTCAAAGTAAACAAGACCAGAACAGAACAAGATTACTTCCCTTAAATCTGTTATTTGTCCTGTATTCTCTGTATCCGTGGCATTAGCGTCCCTTCAGTTTCAAACCAGTAAACTGGGAAGTTATCTCCTTAGCCCTTACTCTCCATGAATAGTTTACCTTCCTATTTTGTACTTTAATCTCATTTAGGCTGCCACTGCCTTGGTTTAATAAAGTTCATTATTTGTCTGAATTACACAAAAAGCCTAAATGATCTGCGTGTTGTACCATCTACCATCAATTCTTCCTCCAAAATGTTGCTAAAGGCCAAAGAAAAACCAGACTTTGAAGCACAAATGACTCCTTCAGTTTGGGGATAAAATTCAAATTTCTGAGTTCACCCTACAAACTCACCCTCCGTGGTCTAGCGTCAGCATCGTCTTACCATTCCTCCTCACCTGCTTTTCCTAAAATACTTTGTGTTTGGCATTTCCTGCCTTTAGGTAAGTTCTTACATCTGCCTTGAACACAGCCACCCTTCACATCTCTGCCTGGTTCTTAACTCAGAATGCACATCAGACTCACCAAGGAAACTCCAAAAAAAAAAAAAAGGAGCTACTACTGATACAACTCTGATTCAATTTTTTACAAGAACTCCACCAGTAATTCTGATAAAACCCATTTGAGAATTACCCTTGTGTAACCCATCTCTTGGGTGTCATAATGTCTGCGGGCCTGTCTGACCCATCCTCTTGTCTTCCAGTCTTGAATAACTTTCTTCTCCACCCTCTCAGGATTTTGTTTATGCTTCTATCAGGGCACTTACCATGTTGGGCAGAGCTATTATGTGTCCCACCTCTACCACCCACCTGCTCCATCCTAAGCAATTCTGAGTCTGTTAGAGCAGGGATCTGTTTTGTTTACTTTTTTTTTACTCTGAGGCTTGTAACAAATTAAATGGCTGAAAAATGTCTTAAATGTTTACTTAAAAATAATTACCTGGGCTAATAGCTTACAGAGAAGTGATCCTCTCAGTTGAGATTCCTGGGCTTATTTGTGAATGGGTGAGGGTTTACATTCATATATACCCAGATTCTGGCCCCAAAAGAACATATCTGGGGGGAAAAAAAACGGGTGAGGTGGTTTTTACACTCCTGTCTCATGTGAGTTTCACATCAATCCCAGCTCCACAGCGGACTGGCCCCAGCTAGCAAATGCAAAGCTCAGCCCCAGGATCGTAACTCATAGTGCTGTCACTTTAAACCTCACACTTCCTAATAACCGTGAGGTGGTTCTTCCCTCCAAGCCTCGGGCGGGATTCCCTCTGGACCATTAGAGTTTTGACTTATCTTCACTCCAGAAAGGTGAGGAGAGCAGACAAGGCCTCTCTGGTTGGCTGTCAGGGCTCCGTCGCCTTCAGGTGGGGCGGGAGGGCTCAGGTGGCCGCTCGGGAGGAGCAAGCGCTCCCAAGCAGGGTGACCCCAGGGAAGGAAAACGGGGGATGCGGGGAAAGGAACGACACTTCTAGCCAGAGCCCACTCCCGCGACTCACCCGCAAGGGAACTACGCACTGTCCAGACCAAAACAGCTCCCACCAGCGCGCAGTGTAGACGACGGAAAAAGGGGGAGGGGGTCAGTGCGCCGGGACCTCCGGGTGCAGGAAGCTCCAGAGAACAGGCCATCAGACCGCGGGGCCTCCGGGGCCGTGACCCCGCGAGGGAAGAGGCTGGGCGCGCGCCACCCCTCCCCCACCCGCCTGCACCCCACACACCGCGACGGTTTTTCGCCGCGGCCCCGCGCGCACGCTCACGCCTTTCGGGCCTGCAGCCCCGAGCCCGCCGCTCGCCTCAACCCGCCCGACTCGGCGTCTGCCGCCTGCCCACCTCCACGCCCCAGCTCAGCAGTCGGCGCGGACGGAAGCGCGAGCCCGCACGCATCCGCCTCGGTCGGCACAGCGCCACCCACCCCGCCGCCGCCGGCGGCCTCCCCGCCCTCCGCGCGCAGTCCCCCCCGCCCCCCCCGCACGCCCCGCCCCGGCGGCCGCGCTCCCGCTCTGGAGCACCAATGGGCGTGGGGCGAGAGCTGCAGCCGGCACCGACCGGGGGCGGTGACGCCAGGCCGCGGCCTCACTTCCGGGCTGCTGCGGCCGGCCAATCAGGAGCGCCGCCGCGGCTGGGGCGCGGCCCCGCCCAGGCCTTCCCGCCGGCCGGGCCTCGCCCCGACGCGCCCGAGCCGAGGCGCCTTCGGTGCCAACCCACCGGCCTTCTCGGTTCCGTTCTTTTTCTTCTTTCCCGACGCCCCAGCGCTGCAGCAGGGTCTGTGACGGATTGCGAGGGCCTTTTCTTCCCTTTGGGCCTCCTCTACAGACCTAAAGTACGGTAACATGTAATCCCGCCATCTGAGAGGAACATAAAAATACAGTAACGGAATCACGTCATCTGAGAGGAAAATAAATTCTCCGCATTACAGAAAAGGGGAACATGAGGTAAATAAAAATACAGACTTTAACGGTAGACGACTGTAAAGAAAGCCCTGGAAAGCCTACCCATTTTTCTAATGACGCCTAATTCTGACACGGGTGAGGATTCACCACGAGCTGATGCCCTAACACAGTCAGAAAAACAAAACAGCCACGAAGGCCGGTCCGCGCCGCGAGGAGGCCGAGAGGGCGCGACCCGCAGAGCCGGCGGCGGCCGTCTTACCGGAGAGAACCTCAACGGAAGAATGAGCAGAAGGGCGTGGGGCAAGAACGTTCCAGCAAGGGGGCGTGGCTTACCGGACGCCTGGCGTCCGTACACGTGCCCGAGTTAGCGCGAGACGAGGACCTATTCTCGTTTCTAGATCTTTCTCTACCCTGTGAAATACTTAAGTCATTTTCAAACCCTGAAGTGTTTAAATAAGTTACGGAACTGTTTCAAACTATACTGCGTTATATATTGTTTTTGTATCCTTTCCAAATTTAGGTTTGTATGTAATACTTTTTAAAATAAGAAGTTGGACGGGTATTGAAGAAAACAAATTAAAGGGAGATAAGATGGTAAAAGTCATCTGAATTTCCAAGTCCTTGAGATAACCATGTCTATGTATATCCTTGCAGAATTTATTACATACATAATCTATTTTAAAGTAGGAAGGAGAGAACACTTATAAAATGCCCAGTTACTTACCACACACTGTAATGAACAGAGTATCGCCCTGACTACTGAACCAGGGTACATCAGCTTTGGGCTAGGGATGCAGGAAAATGCTGTAACTTACTATAAAAAAAGAGAACAGTGGAATTTTAGGTTGAAGAAAATCTTTTGATATTTAACATTAATCTGTTTGCCTTTATACTAACAGTCATAAAATACAGTTTGGGGCATTTTTAAGGAAAGTGTCCACAAAGGCAAAATTAGCATCTAGGACCCACTAAACTCATGATTGCATCTTGCCTCTGAGCCCTCTGTAGGCCTTGTAACTTTGTCACGTTTGTTTTTAATTTGTAAACAATATATTTGCTTTTGCATGTTCTTTGCCTTTCTACTTATGGAATTATACCAAACGTATTTTTCTGCAAACTGCTTTTTACAATCAACGTTATGTCTGGAGATTCATCTATCCAAGATACACTCAAGAGTTATAAAGCACAACGCTACACAACTTGAGAGGTGTTCTTAAAAATATAATGATGAAATTTATGAATACACAATATTTATTTGGAATGAATAGCACAAATTACATATTTTTTTAAATTAGTAAGACCCACTAATATTTTCAAAGTCAAGAAAAAAAATAAACTGCAAGCACACTATAGAAGCTACATATTTTGGCTTCATACACTTTAATTACCTCAACAATTAAGTTGAAGATCATTTCCTATACGGAGATTCACAGGCTAATTCAGTCTTTTCTCTAGCAAGGTTGATGAAATTTCATTAAGAGTTCATAAAAGTTTCTTTGAAAATAATGGTTTCATTTGATGTCATGTAAATTTTTAGGATTATCAAAGAAAATTTCTGTCAAGCTTTTTATTCACATATGAGCTGTAAGATTTCAGAGCACATAGTTTGTGCAGCAATTGAACCTAAATACTTAGGTTTGATGACACATGGTTACCAAGTTGTCATAGAGGTTCTCACTTTTAGGTATGTATTACAAGTTTTATGTCAGTATTTTATGTCAAAATTTCAGTAGTTTTTCCAGTTTGATCATGTGTCTCATTCCTCATCACTATTTGAATTATCAACAATCCAGGATCCTGTAACTCATTATTTCTATTTGAAATGGATCTCTTCTTAATGAATTACGGAAATTTTTTGCTATTTCTATTGATTTCATCATTCACCTTCACTTCTGCCTCATATTCCATTGTTTTGTAAGCTTTATATAACTTATATGCAGTTATATTCAATAAAATACACAAATTTTAAGTGTATGATTTGAGGATTATTCACAACTCTAATTTCATGTAACCATCTCTAATCAAGATAGAAATCATTTTCTTCATCCAAATAAGTGTCCTTGGACCGACCACCTGTGCAGTAAATCCCCCTCTCCACACTCACCTGATAAAACTACTGATCTGATTTCTATCACCAAAGATTCATTTAAATCGTTCTAGAACACTCTATCAATGGAATTATATATTGTGTACTCTTTTGTCCATCTTCTTTTGTTCAAGATGAAATGTGTGGCATTCATAGATGTTGCATATATCAGCAAATCATTATTATAAAGTAGGATATTAAATGAATATACCACAATTTGTCTTTTTCACTCTTCTCCTGATGAATATTGGGGACTTTCAAGTGTTCTGCTATTAAGAATAAAGTTGTTATAAACATTGGTGTACAAGGCTTCTAATGGACATATGTTTTAATTTGACTTGAATAAACATCTAGGAGTGGAACTGCTGAATTACAGTGTAGGTGTGTCTTTGTTTTAACATTATGAGAACTTACAATTCATTTTCCAAAGTGATCTTACAATCTTACATTTCTTAAAAGCAAAGTATAAGGCTTCCATATGCTCCGCAACCTTGCCAAAAGTTCCTATTGTGAATCTTTCAAGTGTCAGTCATCCCAGTAGGTTAAAAGTGTACCTCATCTTTATTTCCCTGGTAAGTAATGATGAAGAATGTCTTGTCATGTTATTTATTGGGTATTAGTATATGTTCTTTGTGAATTGTCTGCATGAGTCTTTGACCATACTTTTTTAAAGGACTTAATTTTTTTAAATTAAGGTATCATTGATACACAATCACATGAGCAACATTGTGGTTACCGATTCTCCCCATTATCAAGTCCCCAACACATACCCTATTACAGTCACTGTCCATCAGCGTAGTAAGATGCTAGAGTCACTACTTTTCTCTGTCATACTTCCTTCGCAGTGCCTCCCCTACATTATGTATGCTAATCATAATGCCCCTTAATCCTCTTATCATTCCCTGCCCACCCATCCTCCCCAGTCCTTTTACCTTTGGTAACTGTTAGTCCATTCTTGGGTTCTGTGAGTCTGCTGCTGNAATAGTGCTGCGACAAACATAGGGGAGCATCTGTCTTTTTCAATCTGGGCTTCTGCATTCTTAGGGTAAATTCTTAGGAGTGGAATTCCTGGGTCAAATGGTATTTCTATTTTTAGTTTTTTGAGGAACCTCCATATTGCTTTGCACAATAGTTAGACTAGCTTACATTCCCCCCAGCAGTGTAGGAGGGTTCCCCTTTCTCCGCATCCTCACCAGCATTTGTTGTTCCTAGTCTTTTGGATGTTGGCCATCCTAACTGGTGTGAGGTGATACCTCATTGTGGTTTTAATTTGCATTTCCCTGATGATTAGTGATGTGGAGCATCTTTTCATGTGTCTGTTGGCCATCTGAACTTCTTCTTTGGAGAACTGTCTGTTCATATCCTCTAGTTATTTGCTTTTTGGTTGTTGAGGTGCATGAGCTCTTTATATATTTTGGATGTCAACCCCTTATCGATCTGTCATTTATGAATATATTCTCCCATACTGTAGGATGCCTTTTTGTTCTACGGATGGTGTCCTTAAAGGACTTAATTTTTTTAGAGTAGTTTTAGGTTAAATCAATATTGAGAGAAAGGTGCAGAGATTTCCAATATACTCCCTGCCCCCAACATAAGTAAAGCCTCCCCAATGATCAATATCTTTCCCCAGCATGGTACATTATTAACAACTGATGAACCAACATTGACCATCATTTTCATTTTTGGCCGGTAAGGATGGCTAGAGTAGGCTGGAGTTGGGTACTTCCCTTTCACCCAAGTCACTGGAGCTGACTGGATTTCCCTATTTTCCTTTCCCCAGGACAGTTAGGCTCTGACACTACCCTAGCACAGTAGGTTTTGGTGAGTTTCTCCTTAAGGAAAGCCTTTTTAAGAACAGAATGCTCTGGTATATTTCAAAATGTTTCCTTTTCCCCTTTCCCTGCTGGAAGACCAAGATTTTTCTCTGATAATATATTGTGGTAGACTGGTTGAGCTCCTGGAGGTAAATTTCATAAAATTGTGGGGGGCCCCCCTATGACTCAATGCTCCCAGTTTTTAACTCAGAGTTGTCTACGCTGAGCCTGCAGCCATTCCTCAATTCAGAGGAATGAATTGAGGATTCATTCTAGTCAGGTTTTCCTACTCAGCACAGGTTTCCACTTGTGGGTCTCAGCTCAGTTGAGTTGTTACACTCTGTATCCACCCCTCTGTCTCCGGTTTGTGAGGCAGCATGTCGCCCTGTGTCCTCCCCTCTCTTGTAGATCCTAGAAGAGCTGTTGACTTTTCAGTCAGTTCAGCTTTCTACTTGTTGTTGGGATGGAGTGGTAGCTTCCAAGATCCTTACATGCAGAACTGGGAAACGGAAGTAGTCTCCTTTGGCCATTTT